CATTTCTAAAGTTTTAGGATTACTTGATCTATATTTCCAGTGAGATTATGTGGGGTTCTTGTATTCAATTTCTATAAAGAAAGATGAAAACAGAAGTTAGCAGCAGTAGGGAGAACATGCAGTGTAATAAGCATGTGATGCATGTGATGCAAACTGTTTTATCATCAGCTGGTGGAGGTTCCCTTCATTGTAAAGAGGTTTAAAAAAGAGTGATCAACCTTTGCTGTTGGTTGGCAATGACACATGCTGAACTGTTTTAAAACTGCCATAATTTCATTCTAGTCGGTTCACAGGAGCCAAACTTGTAATTTTAAAAATGTTTCAAGTTTGGGAAAAAATTATGCTAATATGTTTCAGTAAATCTCTCTGTAAGATCTATTGGATACCTAGAGTTTGTGCAGCTAAATCACAAACGTAACCCTTGAAAGTTCAAATGGTTATAAACAACACTGCAGTAAGTATTGGGTCTCCTGTCTTTATACACATTCTGCAGAATCCGATTCTTAATCCATAGAGGTTGAATGATGTGGTTCAACCCTTTGCGTTTATAACAGCTTCACCCCTTGTGGAAAGCCTTTCCAGAAAACTTCTATATTTAAAGGCATTTTTGATAATTCATCCAGAAGGGCATGGCTGAGGTCAGACACTGTTGCAGGACAACAAGGCCATACCTGTAGTCTCTGCTCCAATGAAGTTTAAAGGGCTTTTATGGTGTTAAAGCCAGAACTCTGCAGGCCGTTCACATTCTTTCACTTTAACTTGATAGCTCGATAGAAAGGCATGATTATTCACTCCAGAGAACATGTCTCCACAACAGCAGTACTTTACATCATCTGAGGATTTGAATTCCTCTTGAGGATGCAGCTGGTCCACCATGTAACCTATACTTTACACACTGTTCTTTGAATAATCTGAGGGTAGATGAAGTTTGGAGATCGGTAGCTATCGTTCACAGCATATATATGCTAGCAGTCCCATAACATATACCATATAGTCTTTAAAAACTTTTATTTTAAGCTTTTTATTCATGTAGACACAGTTCTTGTTTTAGTCCATCACTAAAATAAAGATAAATGAGTTGAGAAGTTTCAGACTCACTGTCCTCCATACGTTCAATGCTGATATAAACTGAAAGTTCTCCACTTTGTTAATGTAATCTAGACTCACCTCTTTAATTCATAACCAGCAGACAGTAAAAATGTTCTTAAATTTTAGCTGCCAAATGCATTTCCAACTGATGCTCTCAGTGGAGTGGACCCTGCAGCGGAGCTGGATTAGGAACTTGTCTATCCATCTGTCTATCGGTCTGTCTTCTCACCTCCTGGGTGCTCTGAGACCACACACGCACACACCCTCCACACACACACTCACACCTCTAAAACATCAAATCAACAGACACAAATACAACGCGTTGTCTTTTTGTTCTCATACAGAAACACACACACACATCCCAAGCATGCGTTTGGTGTGCGTCACACGAGCCATCTGCTTGCTAACCAGAGCGCCTTCTACACCAGGGGTAGGCGACGTCGGTCCTCGAGAGTCACTCTCCTGCAGCGTTAGCATGAATCCCTTTTTCAACACACCTGAAAAACTTACCAAAACATGCATGAAACTAATTTGGCCTTTTGCTCCAGGTGTACAAGCAAAAGCAACTATAGTGTTTGGTCTCATACCACGGCATAAATCTGCAATTTTTTTGGAGTTTGATTTAAGAAAAACTTTTAAAGAAGCCATTTCCAAAGTATTTAAGGCTGAAGGAGCATCCTCTCTGAAAATCAGACTGAGGGATTGACTGAAGTTTCTTAATAAGCAGTTTCAGATTGTGGTTTCTTTAGCATTTAAAGTTTTTTTCCTTCTGAAATCAGTTTAAAAAATTAAGCAATTTCTGTAATCTCATATGATTTTAGTCCTGCTAGGATTATTTTCCTTTCAGGTTTGCATCAAATGTTGACATCTCCCGAACTGGAGGGATGTGATCTAATAAAGAGAGAAAGCAACAACCTCTAAAGCTTAGCACTGCTTAAAGCTTCCTGTTGCTACATAAAAAAAACTGGACAAAGGAGCTGGGGGCCATGGAAAGATATTTAAAGCTCTAGACTCAAAGGGGGACCTTACAATCCTGGACGTTGCAAACTATTCTCATAATTTTTCTGGCAAAGACGGTGTAAACTGACTTTTTCACACTAGCCTCAAGGCTTGAAGGACCATGTTTAGTGGGTGAGTTTCTATCTATTTGTATCATGAGCTTAATGACAGACGCTTCTGGATAAAAGAATTTGATCCGTGCACAAAAAGGATCCGGTAAGAAAACACATCAAGTATATGTTTTGGGAAATGTTTCTCATTTTTAAAAGTTGTTTGGCTTTTCTACCCTTTATTATGTGATAAAACCAACATAAAATGGTGAAGTGGATAAAAAGTTAAACATGGTTTTTTAAAAATCTTCAATAACTGTACAAATCAAATATAAATCAAATCAATGCACATATTTTTAGGTTTTTATGTGTAAAAAGATTAATTTTATTTCTTCTCTGTTGTGCACTACTTTGCTGTCTGTCATAAAAAAAAAAAAAATGCATGGAGGTTTGTGGTGGTTACATGGCAAACTAGGGAGAAATTCAGTGGATTAACCTGTCATCTATTGTGAGCAGGTTTCTGAGCATTAGGTTGACCCCTTTTTAAAAAAATACCCCACAGTGTGTAAGTGTTTCAAACTATTTTTCTAAATATATATTTTCTTTTAGAAAAAGAATTATAAAGCTGTTAAATCTACAAATGGACTTTAGAGTCAACTCTTAAGACAACAGTTTAAACTAAAAACCCTAATTAGAGCCGTTAATGTGGATCTAAACATGTACACATAAACATAAGCATGCACCGATATCCAGTAGATTCGATTACTGCAGTATTCCAGCAAAAGTCTTTTCAAGCAGCAAAGATTAATTCAATCTTCTCCCACTTCCGTGGTTCTGAAAACCCCAAAAAAGCTCCAAAGTGCAATTAATCTTCCAATCTCTGCCAGAGATACAACATGTGACAATTAGCCATTTAATCTGATACTACAGCTATCAGTCCTCTTTGTCTCTATGATATTCAATACCAGGTGACAGGCCCCTCAGTTATCAACCAAGGAACACAACTTTGCTCGGCAACAGCAGACTAGATGTTATCATATTTATCAGACATCGAGGTTTCAGCCCATCGAAATCCTAACTACGGCTCATCTGTATTGTTTCACAGCAGATTCATATATGTGCAGCGTATCGCATATAAACTGCTGGATTTAATCCCTTAGCTGTTGCTTGCTTCAAACAAAGGTTATAGCTTGTAACTTGGCCTTTCACAATAGATCAAATAATCACATGGTTGTGATAAATGCACGATCAATTAAATTAATTAATTAATTTGCATGCTTGTATGTTCCTCTCGTGTCTCCTCTTCTTTCTTGTCTGGATGAAAAGTGGTTTTACTCCGGTGCATCGGTTTCCACTCACCCCTCCCCTTATCGTTTCCTTAGCGTACTGAACGTAGCATGACAGCCTCGTGACTGAGGAGTAGAGAGCCAGAAAAAGAATAGCCAAGATTTGGAAAAACAGAGATGAAACTGGCTCCAAAGCCAACAGCTGCAGTTGGATTCACACCGAGTGACAATGTATTGTTTATCGCAATCATTTCTGAGACAAATTATCCTCAAGCAAAATTTGTTATCACAACAGGCGCGTTTGTAACAAATAGTGGGGCCTAAAATAACTTATTCCAAACCAATGCTTGTAAAAAGAAAAAGATGTCCAGTATATTCGTTTAGAGTAAACAGTATTATTTAAAGCTTACAGGATAAAAAACATTTTGAGCTTTAGCTTAAGTTATATTAAAGCACTGGATGGAAGCTAAGGAAGAGGGGTGTTTTTCAATGACAGAGAAGAGGGTCTGGTTCCGACCTTTTTAGCAAAAAGCTTAACCTGCATCGGAGCACAACACTCAAGAGCTACCGGTAGACTTCAGAGGCATCGGTTTGTCTGTTACATTGGCAGTGCAGCTGGTAAAAGACTGGTGACCACGGGTAGTTGGGAAAAAGCTGAGATAATCTATAGAGCCTCTAGACAGAGGCTTTTAGTGTCGGTGAAATTATTTTTTGGGGTGTCTCTACCCCTGCAGGAGCTGAACACCTTGCATTCATTCATTTTAACACATACAAAACAAGCATGTAATTCACAAGCTTATAAGGTGATGCTTAGAACAGTGACAGGAATATACTTACCATAATTTTCGGACTATAAGCCTCGACTTTTTCCCCATTTTTCAACCTTGCGGCTTATATAACAATGTGGCTTATCTATGGACTTTTACAGCTAACTAGGGTAATACCTAAATCTATGGATTTTACCATCCACCAAGTTGCATCACATTTGCTTCAACACACAAGTACTGTAGCCGCGCACGAGGGAATGCGGAGGTCCTCCGGAAGCAAACTTCTACCGCGAGTGGTACGAGACAGAACGACAGCAAGAAAGACGGACATTGCGAGCGCAAGACAGTTTGTGTGACACCCTCATTATGGAAAACAAACGTACCGGTAGAAATAATGAATAGGAGCTTCCCCAAACAGTTGCCTCTTTCCCGACAATCCTCTCTGTGCACGAACCATATGGTAATTAAACATAAAAAACCTTTGGTTTATAGTCCGGTGCGGCTTGTATATGTACAAATCATGCAATTTAGCTTCTGCGGCTTATATTCAGGTGCGGCTAATAGTCCAAAAATTACGGTATATCAAATGATGAAGTTTAAAGCATTATCTGTTAAACCCAGTTTATATAGAGACTCTGATTAATTAAATCTAAATGCAGAACTTATCTAAATAAATAAGTTCTGCAAATTAGCATAAGTTAAACTTCCTTTGTATAATAAACTTCAGCTCATCAGTGTTTCAATGTGTTTAGTCCTCATAGAATAAGTGTATTGTTTTCAGATATACTATATGAACATTTTGATCTTACCGTCATCCAGCGTGATATCCTGCAGGCCGATGGAGCGGAAGGTGGGCTCCCTGTCCTCTGGCTCCTGCTTAATATTTAGCCTCTCCCCTTCTGAGGGAAACGGCCCCTGAGGATGACCCAGTGGCCCCACAGCTGAGGGGGACAGACTAGTCATGACGGGGCTCATAGCCTGTGGCGAAGGCTGCCCTGAATGTTGCTGTTGCTGCTGCAGGGGCCCCAGAGGACTGCCACCTGAAGTGGGCGAGGACGAAGTGGGAGACTGGTAGGGCAGCGGGTGGATTTGAGGAGAAGAAGGTCCAGAGTGAGGAGAAGGGATCATTCGCTGTTGGGGTGCAGTGGAAGGTGTGGGACAGGAGGCTGACCTCTGGCTTACAGGGTGGTAGCCCAGACCTCTCTGCAGCTGGGAGGAGTGCTGCCCTGCGAGGGGGTGCCCTGCCTGAGACGGTACCTGGTTAGGACTTGGAGAGCAGTGAAAGCCTCCAAGTGTGTGGAGGTGTGGGGATGATGGAGAGAGCATAGGCTGATGGTTCTGAGGGGATCCAACAATAGGATTGGTGGGTGAGGAGGAGAGAGCAGATGGCGAGGAGCAACTAGAGGAGTAAACTATTCCAAGGCCTACTGGATGTGATGCTGCCGTGGGGCTCTGCTGAAAGGGGATCCTCTCATAGGTCTGAGAAGGGAGGCTGGGCTGTCCGTTAAAGGACAGATTATGACTCGGACTGTGGCTGTGTTGCAAAGGCTGGTAAGTGGGCCGTGGGGGAGCGGGAGCAGAGCTCTGGTGGAACGTCATGTGGCAGTCTGTGGGGGGGTGCTGCAAACTGTGACCCTGGAGGTGAGGCAGGTGCTGGAAAGGCGGGGAGCTCAGGGAGGGACAGGGGCCCGACAGAGGTAGCAGGCCAGGTCCTGAGCCAGTGGCCAGGCTGTGAAGAGAGCTGGACAGAAGGTTGTCCGATGGGTGGCCCTGTTCAGGAGAAGGAAGCTGAGGGTGCACCAGACTGGGAGCATGTGTCAGGGGCATGGAAATGGGAGGTACAGCAGTGAGGTCCAGCTCATCTCTGTGCTCCTGTTTCACCATCACTAAAAGAGGAGTTAAAGAGAAAGGATGAAACAGTTACTTTCTGTTGGATCACATGTTTTCACTATCCTGAGTGGATGTTAAACTGAAGACAGTTTCTATTAAATTTGGGTGAGCTGCAGAACAAAGGGAGATATTTTGACGTGAATGTGTGGAGTGTTTAATGTAACATATCAGGTTTTTAATATCTATAATTATTGTGCACAGCAGAGCTTGTTTCCGTCCAGGGAATACAAAAACAAAACATTCCATAATCACTGTAAAAAATGGTTTCAATCCATGTGATTGATTAGTAAATGGACGTCAGTTACTAAATTATACAAGCTAATAAATGTAGAAATGAATTATTTCTCAAGTAAATAAGGGAGTCATTCTGTGTGTATCAGACTTATATATGCACATATGGGCCAAGATGCTGCAAGAATAAGGAAATATATTTGTCAGCTTAAAAAGAAGAAGTCTTATTGTGGAAAAGCTCAGTAATAAATTAAAAAGTACACCCAAATGACATCAATGAGGTGAGGAGAGTCTCTTGAAAAATGTGACAGCAAAATAGGTCTCATTCCAGATTAAAACAGCCTTGGAAAAAACAGGCTGACATTTTCATTGTAAATGGGGCCATTCCTTTTTACTGTGACAGCTTAGAGCTCTGCTATGCCAATCCGTAACCTATTTCCCGATCTGGTGCCTTGTGACCACAAGTTTTATTTTTATCCAGCTCTGAATCAGAAGAGAGCATATGTTGTCAGTCTGGATGCCATAATGTGAAATGTGTGGGATGAGGAGCCGAATGCCCCCCAGCCCAGATCACACTGAAACGAACAAACGAGTTCACTGACTGAGCCCTCTTCTCACCCCCACAGACAAGAGGCTCAGTGGGGCTAAATGTGATATATTCAGATTGGAAACCGAGCTCCTGGGGTGTTTAAGTAGGAGAGTAATTTTACTCTGAATTTAAATACGTCTATCAATAGCTGGAGTCGCCAAAAGACACAAAAACATCATTTTTTGGTCAGCTTTCACCAAAAATATTTATCATTAGGAACAGGCTCTATAGTAGAACTCATGATGAAACATGAAACACCACTTATTGGCTGACTTTCTTTTTTCTCTTTTTCTCCTGCCACAATAAAGCAGGCGGTGTCCGTGGTGACATCAGCGGTGTCAGCGACCCAGCTTGACTGACAGAGCAGCGTTAATCTACACTGCTCTGATTGGTCGTACTGATCTGTCAGCGGGGAAAACAGGAACTGCTTGTGACGAGTGGGCGTGCTTGCAAAAAGAAAAGCTGGGTGGGTGGATGGGCAAGGCCGCTTGTACGCATACACAGAAACGCATAACAACACACAACGTACACACTGTTGCGGTAAAAGTCACGGTTTGGATGTGTTGCACAAAATGCTCACATGTCAATATAATCCGCCAACACTGTTTTCAGTTTGACTGGTTTTAACAGAAAAAAAGAAAACAATAACAATATTAAAGAAAAAAAAAAACATTGAGCTGATTTGACTCCAATGAAATGATCACAGACGCTCAATCACACGTGAAAGAAGCCGAAGCGGAGTCGAATTTACCAAACGATCGCAGCATAATTAGTGTTTAGTGGAGTTTTACTGGATAACGAAAAGAAAAATGCAGCAGTGCATGTGAAAAAAAAAGGATGTCACTTTTACAAAATAAACAGTTGGCAGGTGTTAATCTCATTGTTAGTGGAGGGTTCCCATCTAAACCACAGCAATACAGGTGCTTCTTAGGGAGTTAGAAAATCACCAAAGAATTAGATTAGTTCAGCTAATTAATTTAAAAAGCACAACATGAAGATTATAATTGTTTTCATTATATACTTCATGTTAGTTGCTCATAATATTTTATAATGAGCTAACAAGCTAATAAGGAACTTTTATTGTCTTCCCAACAATAAAAAACAAAACAAAACAGAAATCTAATTTTAAGGTCTGCACAATCCTGGTGAGCACTGTTGAATTAACACTTTTCCAATTAACAGCAACAGATCCCTTCTGATAGGAGCTTAAGCCACACGAGGACTTTGCTTAAATGCAGGCTGCTCTTAGGAACCAAGCATAATGATGGAAAGTTAAGTGAAAGCAGAAAATGCAGCAGGTAAAGTTGCACAAGCAACAAAAACCACGACAGCCAGGGAAGAGATGTGAATCAAAGAGAGCCCACTCATGACATGAGCTATAACTGTTGCAATCCTTTTGTTTTAGCCACTGCTGAACAATAGGGATGCTACCTGGAAAAAAATAGCCAAAGTACTTTTTTTTTAGTTGAAATAAGAATTTTCATTTAATTTGCAAACTAAGGTTGTTTGGGATTTAGGTTTGGAGAACCATAAAATTCTATATTTTCTTGAGGTTGGGTGTGAAGTTAACAGTCAGAGTCAGCAGAGCTGTCTACCAAGTAATTCATGCTTCATTCTTCTCACACCACATCTGTGAAGCTGATGATTGTGATTTTACATTTTGGAACCAGACCCACATTAAAACACATTATCACCGTGCTTGATTTGCCAGCAAACTCATATGACTTTAAATTCAGTTTGGCACAAAAATACTTTATTGAGCCTAAAGGGGAAAAGGGCCAAAGCCGCTTTCAGCAGGTCCATATTTCTGTATAAATATTCTTTTTGACGAATATTTTGATTGTTTCTCTTTAGTTGTTACTCAAATAAATAAACTTTTCAGTGACATTTCATTTGCACCTGCACTGCAGTTAGAGAAAAAAAAGCAGTGGCAGCTCACAGAGCGTATGTTGAGAAGTGTGCAACGCAGCAAAAATGGTATCTCTTCTCTGAGTCAGGCTTTATGAAATTAACCTGGACAATTCTCTATGGCAGGATACATACGTAAAGGATACATGCTCATCATTTTAGTTCCCTTTAATAATACCTGCTCTCTCCAAACAAACCTGATAGGTAGGTGAAGCGCTGTGATTGGCTCCTTTTCCGTTTTCCATTGCAGACATAAAATTGCACCTGCACAGCTGAAGTTACAGTCTTACTGTGGTACGGAGGGATTTCCACGACAATGCATGACTGAAAAAGACAAAAAAAGAACACATTACTGACCTACATTTCTGGACATGAAACCTGCTATTACCTGTCAACATAAATAAACTGTTACAGATAGAAGGGGTGCCCAGATCAAGGTTCTGATTCAGGTCATTTAAAAGGAAACACCTTCGTATGCCAATTCTCAGTATATAATGGACCTTTTTAGGACAAAACACCCAACATGTTCAAAGTCATAATTTCTTTTCAAAAGGCATCAATTTTCTTTAGCATTAACAGTGCAAATAAATCAAAAATCCATGTGATAAAAAAATTTACAAAGAAAAATGCTTAAATGCCTGAAATTATTAAGTTATGTTTGAATAAAATAAAATAATTAATATATAGGGGACATTTTTTACACAGTCTTTATTTTCATTGGAGGCAAAATAGTAAACAAAAAAATAAACATTTAATGCAAATTTACAGAAGTGAAAAAATAATACTTACACCTTGGGTTTTTTCTCGGATAATTTTTGCTTCAACTTCCCATTGTGGTCGTCCATCTAAAACAAACAAAAAAAAAAGATGAAGACGGAGAACCAAATTAATATACTATAAAAATGTTTATTTCATAGATGGTTGAATATTTTAAAATAGATGTCCCTGTCTGATAAAGTATTCCTGTCTCTAATCAAATTAGGAAAAGAAAGTCTAACAGCTTTGCCTGTTTAGAATTATGTTTTTCACTATAAAGTATTTATAGTGCCTTTAAGGTGTCTAACAATGGCTAGATATTCATGCAAATTTTCCTTTGAGGGCTATGATTGTGTGCAGAGACATCTTAAGGGCTGTCGGGATAAAACAAAATTTCTTTGTGGTTGAAAGAAGTCAGTCATTGCAGCATTGAGACAAATAAAAAAAAGAAAGCTAAAAGCTTCTAAGCTGAAGGAAACTCAGATGCCTCCGATTTTTTTTATGCTGCACGCATGTTTCACCATGCATGTATATTCTACACCTGCATGGCCTGTTCCACAAAACCCAAAGGATTCCCCCAAATGCCACCAGCAGGCATCTGCAACATTTCTGCACAGACGCCAACTTCAAATGTAGATTAAACAAACAAACTGCTTGTTGTATTTAAACCATTAAGAAAGCTGTTAGAACCCACTTCTCTCATAATTGGTTGATTATTAGTTGATGCTCTTATCTTAACTGAAAATGAAACTTAGATGCGGGCGTCAAATTAGGCAAATTAGGTAGATCTAACCCCAAACATATCACCTCTTCTGAGAATTTAGAGCTAAACTCGTTGATGACAGTTTTTTTCTTTTCTTTCAGTGAGCAATGACCTTGACAGTTGACAGCAGTGCATTATTGCTGCACAGCTTGTTGACATTCAACAGGCAGCAGCAAGGGCCCCACATGTTCTGTCAGACAACAAGCACCGACAGGAGCCTCATACCACAGTAAAACAAAGGGCTGGATTTACCCAGCCACACTGCTCTTACCATTGCTCTGGGGGTAAAAAAATTACTGCCTATTGTGTTAAAAAAAACAAAAACAAAAAAAAACAGAGTTAAAAGAAAACATTTTTAAAACGTATAATTGTACAGCTTTTACAAAAAGACAGCAGCAGCGCCCTTGTTCCATTAGTCGCTGTTGGAGGTAGTCACACTGCTACAGCCTTTAAAGACAGACTCTTTATATAAACAGCCATGGCTGTAAAAGCCAAAGACCTATACCAATTATGGACTTACTTCAATTTCAGTTTTTCACAAAGTCCAGTAACTCGCATCGTAATCTTTAAAGTTCACATTTTAAGTAAAGCCAAATGTGCATCTATTTCTTGGAAGAAGATGATTGTTGGAGTAGTTTTTATTCTTAAAGCAGTGAATCCATAAACTCATGACACACATCTGCCCTTATTTTGTGCTTGATCCTGTTTTACCCTCGCATTGCTCCTTTAAAATAACCTAAAACTAAAATATTCATCTCTCTGCTCTTCTTTCTAATGCTAAAATAAGTTGTTGATGTTTGATTATGGGTAGAAAAAGCTCAATTTTAAGCTTTCATAACAGATGAGAGAGGCTTCTGCTACACAAAGGAGGACAAGATTTGTGCAGGAGCTGAATTTTTCATTTGTGTCATTTCCCTCAAATTGAAACACTATCCCCTCATTTGACTGGGTCAGATTTTCCAAAGTCTAAAGAAACGATTAAACAGGCGCTTCTCTTGAATGTAAAAAGGAGAAAAGCTGCAGAGCCACACCGGCTGTCAATTCAAATACAAATGCTTTGCCTCGGTTCATGACCAACCTGCGCATAATGCTCTGAAAATGAAACAGAACAGGAAAAGGGTTTTAATGAATATTAATAAGTAAAATATAATGGAAACTACATTTAAAGAAAAAAAATCAATCATAACACAGACATTGGGAGTTTATAACTGGGTGAGGCCAGTTAAAGGGGATTGATTTTTGTAAGTGTAACCCACCTCGTTCCTCATAAACATTCTTGTAGCTCCACATTTGTTATTTTGAAGCTCAAAGATTATCACTATTTTATTTGATCTGTTTTAAGTTCAAATAACACAATTTAATACTACTGTTTTTTACATCCAAGTCTGCCCTGCTTGCTCTATACTGTATGTTAACAGAGGGAATCTGACTGGTTTACCCTTTGATTAAGAGATTTTACTTGATATTTTCCCCAAAGTAGAGATGTTTTTTTTTACAGTCACAGGATCTCTCTTCCTGTCTGACTGATGATATTGTCACCATATTTCTGCATAGATCTGACCTACACAGAACAGGGGTTTACCTAGGTCAGTATAAGTTAAAAAGCTTCCCTAATACTCACAGCTTTGTTATGTTTGTTCACTATTTTTTGCCTTCTATTATCAGTTGACCTAAATAAAATAAGGTTTTTTTGTTTGTTTTTTTAATCACGCAATGCAATATCATTATCTTTAACATGCTGGTTTTCATAATAAAGTATAGTTGTTGACATAAGAATGCCCCTCAGGCTAATTGCTGTTAGAGGAACCTCTCTGGAACAGCTAGTTGGATGTGTTTTGTGTAACCGAGGTACAGTAATTAATGCTGCTTCATCACTACAGACTTTTTTTTTTTTTTGTTATTCTGCTTTGATCTTTTAGGTATGAGATTCTGTACTGTAAAAATCTGTCATCTGTCTCTTTTTAATGTTTCCCTTCCTATGGCAGGTAATCAATGTCTATTTCCAAAGAGAGTGCAATGAAAGCATTTATTTGAACAGAGCTAATCAACATCATGTTTGGATCCACTTTCACGTTTTCCTTTCTTCTTCACAGTCTATTGACTTCATGCAACATGGGGCCCAAGTCACCGCCAACCCAAGGAGTGCCTCTTAAAGGTTTCCACCCGCTACTCTAGCCTGCCATGCTTCACTTGCTCCTCCTGAAAAGGGCCTGAACACATTCCCGAGGGCAGATCATTTAAATACAAGACTTTTAAGTACAACACTTGCTCACAGGGGCAACACCACTCAGCTTTTTTTTGCCATGTGCAAACTTGAATCTGTAGTTCTGCATCAAAAGTACCTTGGGCAGGTAGGGACTGGTAAAGAAAATGTCATACATTAAAAATTTCCACAAAGCTCTTCCATGTCCTTCATTGAAGAGTAGCAAACAAAAATGGAGATAATGAGGCATAGAAAATAACTTTATGGAAAAAACTTTAAGTACAACTAGGATTTAAGCTGGTAACAGGTAAAAGCAGGTTTTAGGAATACCTACTTAAGTCTTAAAGTTGCTTCAAGCAAGCTACATTTCATATAAAGAGTCAACATACATTTCTAAGTATTCTTTCCTCCAGGAGAAGGAAAAAAACAGATCACAGTTAAGCTACCTGACGAATAAATAAATCTTCCTTTGTATTATTGTTAATATACATATAAAAATGTTGTAATAAGTAGTAGCTAATAACTGAGAGGGCATAACTTTTTTCTGTTTCCTTGAACATCTAGGATGCTTGAGGAAACCTCAGCGTTCACAAACAAAACTCATGCAGGTATGAGAATAGCAAGGAAACTCCACATGGAGGAGCCCAGGGCACACGGTGCAAACCATTGCACTATTCAAATTAAAATGTGGTTTCAAAGGTAAACCTCATTAGTCAATTAGGCAAATCACAAACAGCCCCATGTATAAAGTGTCAAAAACAGAAACCGGGGTATCCCTTCTGTAAATACTTTCATTCTAAACACAGATAATTATCTGTTGTCCATGTTATTTAAGGCATTTTGTAAAGCTATTAAAGAGTATTTATCTAAAACTCAGAAATGCCATTCATCAGGATCTACCCCACAGTTTGAGACAAATATATAGCACGGGCACATTTCTTACCAGGGCCTTTCTCCAGGAAGATAACCTTGGACTCTGGGAAGAAGTTGGAACCAGTGATCACCATCTCCTCACCCCCACTGACCAGACAGCTGGTGAGGCTGGACTTTTCAACCTGCGGCAGCTCCTGAGCTGAACGCTGGGCTGGGAGAGATCCAGAAAGTTGCTGATGAAATTACACACTGCCATTTTCATATGTCTGAAACTGGATATTTACACATAATGCATGAAAAAATGTCTCCCTCAATGTCGGATATTAAATAAGTCTTAAGGTTCCTTGTTTTAGGTCAGAAAGGATTACTGTAATTATTTCTATGGTCTAAATAACAGAGCACTGAAAAGGATAAAATAGTATTTTTTTTCCCTGCCTTAAACAAAGTTTGAAGACATAACCTCAGTATAAAGTGTTCATTTAAATCTGCATGTTTGGGTTGAATATTTTAGGATATCCTAACACAAGCCTGTAACCATAACTTAGATAGGGATGAATACTAAAGCTGGCACCGTTCAAACCCGGCCACCCAGATGGTTCTCGCGTAGCAATAAGCAGCGTTGTGCATGAACGCGATCAATGAATGGCGTTTACTGAATACGTTCATATTTTTTGCCATAAAGTAAACTGAGCGGATCAGCATGTTTACTGCTAGTACTCGTCTGCACAATTCAGACTAATCTACTAGTATTTCCAAGGCCAGTTTTGCAGAGTGCTTGGCAGAGTTTTATGAACTAAAAAAGAAAAACCTGGAAAGAAAAAAAAACATGTTTTTGTGCAAACTGTGGCCACCAGGACTTAACAAATGAGTCCGTACATCAGCCACATTCAAATTTAAAGCGATGCATCGAATTAAAGCATCTTGGGAAATACCTGCTACTGAATGAGGAACATAAGAAATCATCTTTGATACAGATGTTTTGAGCAGAACTTGAATGTACCTGTATGTTTCCGAAGTTCTGTGTAATTTGGCAAAACAAAGGCTTCACTATAAATACAGTTAACATTGACTTAATATTTTCTCTTTCTTTCTTTAAATTCTGATCACACATATAAACGGTGCGATTTTCCATTGTGTGGGGTTGTGAATTAATTTATCAAATTAACTTGAACTTAGTTTATTTCTGAAAACTGAACTATGAACATGAGCTAGTTCATTTTCATCCGTGTTAATGGAACTTTGAGCTTTTTCTCTTTAATTATGAACTGGCACAACATTCGCAAGTACCGTCTGACGTGGCCCCAGGGCCCCTCTTGACAGTATTATTAAGGTCAATTTTAACTTTTAACAGATTTCAACTCCAATATTTTACTGGTGATCTACTCCTTCTTAGGAAGCACAACCATCAGGGACACTGATTAAAGGGGATAATGCTCTGCTCTCACAAGTTCTCGCTTCCTCACATCAAAAATTTGTTACCATCTATTTAGCAACCTCACTAGTGACATTTTCTTTTCAGGCAAGTACCATCAAATCTAGCCACTTTAGAACACGTTGTTTGGAATTTAAGGAAAAACAAATTAAAAGACCAAACACTGAGTTTAATGTCTTCAGCAACCAGTGAGTGCTGTTGTAAGCCCCTCACACTTCTAAAGCACCGAGAGGCTAAAGCCTTTACAGGCTCATTTTGCAGGAAAGTCTGCCTGTAGTCAGTAAAGAGAGCAACTCCAGTGTCTTTCATTGGAAATGATGCAGTCACGCTTCCTGCAAAGACAAAGCCTCAATATCCTTGATTACAAAGTGGGATCTAAATATAATTTAATTTAATATTTAACTTAATGGTTTTTTTTTTTTCTCTGAAGTAGTTGTATTTGAAATAGATCCCTCCCTGTAAATGATTCACACTGCCTCTGTCTTTTACTTGTTCACCTCATCCACTGTGCCTCTGCTATCTTTTTGTAGCCTATAATGTTTGTTTTTTTTTACTTTTATTTTAAGATTGTCTTTTAGCCTTTTGTTTACGTATATAGTTATCTACAACAGTTTTGCTTTTGTAAAAAGATTTTTTATTTATTGTACTTTTAATTTACCCTTTTGTTAATTTAAATATAAGGTGTGGATAAGGGTATGGATCAAATATTATTTTTATAAGGAGTATCATTAACTAGTTACCTGAGTTACCATGCTTATAAGCACCTTTGCAGTTCGGCCCACGTGCTCAATGGAGGACACTCCAACACACTGGCTTTTGCTGCTCTCTGGTCCCTCTGTAACTAATTTGACATTCTGCTTTGGGTCACTGTCCATTTCGAAGACCCCTTTTTTTGACCCAGCTCTTATCTGAGCAGAAATGCTCAGATGTTGCCTCAGTGTTTCCATATCATGTTCCTTCCTACTGATACAATCTGTTCAGTGAAGTCCACCTTAATCTTGCAGCAAAATGCTCAAACAATATGATGTTTCCAACCCCACCCTTCTCATTTTGGATGGTGCTTCTAGGCTTATAATTTTATATTAAACTAGTGTACTCAAACACATTGCTATTAGTTTGATCACACCACAAGGCAGCCCCCTAAAAAAGTCTGTGTTCCAGACTAAGTGAATAAATTATAATCTGGCTTTTAATGATTCTCTAGACTAATGTGTGCGTTTGTCTCTACAGGACTTGTGGTTTCAGCCAGTATGTTTAGAACGTGTTTTTTTTTTTTTTTTTTTTATGTTCTGGGATTCCTGAACGGTATGATAGCTGGACATCCCCCCCACTGTTTATACTTGTATATAATTGTTTTAACAGATGAATGTGGTATCGTGAGGCTCCTGAAATTTGCACCCAAGGGAGAACCAGACTGGTGGAGTTCAATAACTCTCTTACTGATATATTGGCTTATTTTTAAAACTCTTCAGTGATTTCATCATCTGAGAGTACCCAGATTGTCTTAGAAATATTACCGTGGTTAATGCAAGATAATAAAAAAAATGATATGATGAGTTTTAATTTGACCATAAACAGGAAAACTTTATTCTAACAATTGAGAATTTGGAGAAAACTTTGTTTTTGTAAACACAATTTATGTTAATATGGATTCCACTTTAGAGGATTAAGGTAAATATAGATTCTGTGTACATAAAATCTAAGTGTTATAGAGCATTTTCTAAATAAAATGTTTTTGCGTGATATAACAAAAATTGAACACTCACAGCACTCCACAGGAATAGAGGAAGCCTGCAGGGAGAGGACCTTCCCATTGGGCTGAGGGATGTGCACTCGGAACACCACGCGGACCCGTGTGTTCTTCCGTCCTATATCCGTCTCTCCCTTCCGCAGCTCGATGTCTGAGTTCCGCAGCTTCAGTATGCCAGCACAGTCAATGCTGCAAATAAAAAAGGGTGGCGTGCAGGGGGGGGGGACAACAAACGGTTGGCTCTGTGCAGAACAGTCATGATGTTAAATATCTCAGGCATATTCTGTTAGTACTTGTAAATGCCTTTGGGTGATAAAATAACCCACAAACCCAGTGGGAGATTGGCAACTAAAACTGCCAGTGAGGGCAGTTTATAACAGTTATAAATAAGGAAATCTCAACCAAGGCCAGTTCCTATGAGTTCCACCATAAATGAAACCAGATCCTATAAAAATATAAGTATTCAGCTGCAACAGGTCATGGTTATATCAATAAAAATGTGTGTGTCTCCACAGGAAACCCTGTAAATTTCCTTGGGTAACCAACCTTTTTGTTGGTATAAATTAAGAAAATCTATAAAATCTACTTTGGAAGACATCGCATCCGTTTACCAGCAAAAGCGTGTTTATCTTTCCTTGGTTAGCCTTTCCTCCATGGTGGAAAGCTCATAATGCCTTTATGAATAATGCATCCTTTAAAGCGTTTTTGACGTCTACCTGGCTGACATGTTGTTTTCAGGAAGTAAGGGGATTTCAAGAACTTTGGTGCTGGAGACCACAATCTCTTGGCTGGCCGTTGCTACAGTTTTCCCCGTGATCCGGTGCACCTGGTAAAAGGCATGTGGCCTCAGGTAGCGGTCGTCCGCTGTTCCTATGAACATCTGCAGGTTCACAGGCTTCTCGCTGTAGCCGGTGAGCTGCAAGACAACAGTCAAAGAGAAAAATAAATAGACAGATGTGAGTCCTTGGGTCTTAGATGATGAAAGGTGTGAAAAGAAAAAATCTCTTCAGTTTCAGAGCAATCACTTTACAGCGGCTAAGGCATCATGAAAAGTATGCTGTCAATAAGTACCCTGATTAGCAGGTAAATGTACAATTTCAAGAGAAACAACAGTAATTACAACAAAATAATTTCTTTCTTGTAAAGATAAAAATGAATGAAATGTTATCCATTTGCACTTCACATTTCATTCAAATACGTTCAATATGTTCAATTGGTGCTTACTTGATTAAAAAAAACAAAAACATTGTTATTACCTTGTACCACTAATAGTAACTAGTCTGTTCACTTAGTATGACAGATGGCATATTAGGCTTCCTTTCCAACTCCCACATACAGAAAGTTTAAGTTTAATAATATGTTGTTTCTAGATCCAAATAATGACATCAAAGGTACATGAAACACAGCATTAGAAGATATCTAACCTTTCCAATTGCTCACACCTCGACCTATTCTCTACTAAACTTGACTTTAGAATATTATGTATAAAAATGAATGTGTCTGATCTTCTGTCCTGTTGAGTGTCCTGGTTTATTAGCTGTGCCTTATGGCAAAATGCTTCAAATCTATTTTGTTCGTCATAGAAACCAACTTTTTTTTTTTTTAGACCCATTTGTAATTATACTGTAATGTTTTATCTGGGCCTTTAAAAAATGTTAGCATCATAGTAGGATGATAGTTGAAGCTAAAGAATTTTCAGTTTGGAGGGATTTCTATTTCTACCTAGAGGAGAGACCATGAGAAGGCCCAGAGCTCAATGAGAGGATTATAGGTCTAACCGGAGATGGAAATGTCTGGGTTTCACTCATGGACCGGATACCCCTGCAACCCAATTACAAAAAAGCAGAACAAAACTGACAGCTGGATGTAGGACTCCTTTTAGGTGAGTAAAAATGTCTGCAATATCCAGAAATAACTTTTCCTTCAGAGCTTTTTTAACAGAAAACAGATGAAAAGAAATAAAACTTGTTTGAATAAAAAAAACAAAAAAAACAAAACACGACCTCTTAAAAGCCCAGCCCCTAATTAAATCTGAGTCCTGACATTAAGATTTATTTTTCTACTGTTTTGTATGGCACAGAAGATGCCATTGAAAAAGGTCAGCAGCATTTCCAGTGGTTCATTTTTGCCAAAACGGTGGGAAAAAGCCCAACAAGCAGCAGTCACCCTTTGAAGTTGTCTCTGAGTTCTGCCACCTAAGCCACTTTCCAGAGAGGACAAACTTTGATGGAGGAAACTGTTGCATGTTGGGTAATAACGAGAGGAAAATAGAGAAGAGCAGGACCTTCCCTCTACACCGGGATAGAACAAACACGCAGGCCGCACAATCCCACCACTGTTGTAATGTTGTACTTGGCAGACTCCGTGACGGCAGGATGGCATCCCCCCACATTCACGCCTACAGCGGACTGCTCTGAAACAACCACACCCCCAGGCAGACGGATGGTAGCTTGCAGAGGCTAACAGAGCAGAAGAAGAAGGCCTTTCATTGCTATTTCACCACTTTTAACTGCCAAGCTTCAATCCCACCACAGCTGGCTCTTTACCCCTGCCGGTTTGCGTCACACACCCCGGTGTCAGTGCTAGGCAGAAAATGATCGATGCATGAAAGGACAGAAAGAAGGGGAGCTAGGAATAAGTCATTTGCTGGTCCAAACCACAAACATATTTTAAGATTTACAAGCCTGTGTTCATTTTTTGCAACTCCCACCATATTTTCTCAACTGCCTCCGTTGTGGTTAAAACAGGGAGTATGGGGAGGCCTATGCTCCACCATGAAAACAACCTTAAGTATACGCTGTGTTTACAAGCATAATTAAAGATAAATGTACATACAAGACCAAGGAGTGATATTTGAAATTATTCCTGTATTTCAGCTAAATAAAAACATTGTAGATTTTTAAAGTTGTTTCATCAAAAAATAGAATACATACATATATTACATTTTTTTTTTTACTTTTTAGAAAGAAAGAAAAATCACAAAAATACAAAGGCTTCATAGACATTTATGCTACGAAATATCTCAGAGGAGAAAGCATCCCGCACTCTATCATTTGAGCTTTGACGTTGGATAAGCAGCTTCCATTCATAAGTGAACTGAGAAATATAAAAGAAAGCAAAATTAAAGGTAAGTCTCTATTTTCATTTGGAAAAACGTAACCTAACTTATAAAGACATTTAAATCTAACATTTAAACTACCGTACTGAAAAATAATCTCTTTGACACTGAACTAGACTTGTTGTGGCAAAATCTTGGCAGCTTCAGGTATGTTGACGCTCCTTTACAACATCCTCAGATGGAGCTATACAACAGCATAGTGATCATGTGTGAGTGAATGACTAAGCAGGATAAAATATCACCTTAATTTAGGGTGTGCTTCTGTGTCAGACTGGGTAATAAATCATAGGGGATTGCAATTAAAACATGAATTCAAATAAACATAACATCTGGATTCAAGAAAACAAAGAATGTCAAGAATTAACTGCATCAACATTTGGGCTGTTTTTTTTATAACACACGCAGTCCTAAATTCTGATTGCAGGTATGCAAGTCTATGCTATATTATGTGTTGGTGTGTATATGCAAGCCTTTAAATCAAGAGAGTATCCAAACATATGTGTTCCAGATCGGAATACATTATTTAACTGTTTTGACTGTTGGATCTGTTCAAGGAGATACTATATAAGGAGACAGATGTAAGGATATACGGAAGTTGGAGTTGTGTGATTGTAGGTAATGCCCAAAAATGATGTTTTTGTTTTTTATTTCTGTCTTGCTTGCTAGTTCAGGTCAATTCTACATAAAACATATTTTGCAATACATTTTTCAAAGCAGGGTTTTTGGTTCTGCATAAATTCACATTTTATACAGTTAAATATAATTTGTTATTACACGCTCGTTACTGAATGCAAAGGTTGTTTTTTTTTAGATCAAGTGTTGGAAAGACTTGGTCTGTTTTTGTATTTTGTAAATTTACATATTTCCAAGTAGTTATAGTTCTTTAAAGTAATGTGTAATATAATGTAATATAAAAAATACAAATACCACCATTATGATGTCAACAGCATCTAAAAATTGTGTTGAGAAAATAGGAAAAGAAAAAGGTTTAATAAAGTCAATGTTCCTTTTTTTTTCTTTCTCAAATTAATTTTTTTAAAGTAACTAAGGCATAAGGTGAATAAAAACTGATCAATTCTCTAAAAATTGTTCTAATTTAAAAGAATTCTGTAACGTTTCTCACCATGAAATCCTAGCATTTTAAATTGCATTTTACTAGAGATGCTTACAGTTGTCTTCTGCTTTATGGATGCCGTTTCTGTGTACTGTTGACCAACAATTCCAAAACAAAGTGCATTGCATGGAAACCAAAAGAGTAGCTACCATCAGTCTTATTGCACTAAAGCTGTAGGCAGGGGATAGCTGTAGATTTTCTGTTTTAATAAAACCAACAACATCATGTGATACTGTTCTATTTTTAAATGAAGTATTTGGATCATGAGACTGTAAAACTATGCTTTCTACTAGAGGCCTTGACACCATAACATTCTAACTGATTGACAAACTATAGACCATAAAGCCCATACAAGAGGAAAAACATATCACTGCCTGTAGCAGTGATTAATTCAGGATATTTTTAGTGACTTCAGACTTTGTGGATTAATTTCAAATAATATATACAGGGTTTTCAAAAAAACTACAAGTGTGCACTAATCTCTAGAATGCTCCAGGAATTAGTCTGTTCTACATGAATCTGCATAAAATACACCCTCCAGTTATGCCATATTCCTTACTCAACCCTCAAACACTTAATCTAAGTTGAGTGTAAAACATCTGTACTTTTAACTTCCTACCTTCTCTCTGTCCAAAATCTGCTCCTATATGAAACTGCAGTGACATAAATGGCAGTCACAAGACCCCAGACCCATGCTCACTGAGGCACGTAGCTAACTTCTAACTTCCAACATCTGATTGTGGATTGAGTTTAGGATAAACCCTTTCCCTTAAAATAAAACTGCAGGATACGGTTACAGACTCACCTTCCACTAAATAAAGAACCCACTTATTTTTGGCCTTCATCTGTTCCACTGAGGCAGTAATGAAGCGAGCAAGCTGAGGGGGAAAAACATGTCCCAACATTGCATACGTTATTACGCAGGCTTACTGGCATATGCATACCAGACATGTTGGCTTTTGTTAAAAATGACAAAAATTATCCTGTATTTCTTAATTTCTCCAGAATGTTTGATTTATAATTGCATATATTCATAGTTTGAGGCTTAAATAAAAAAAAAAACAAAAAAAACACCTGTTCTCTTTACAATTTTCACATGAACAGCAATGTTTCTCTTCACCGTATGCCGGGCCCAGTCTGTTTTTGTCATCGGTCCTCTTCCCTCTTCTTATCCCTTTGTCACTCTCTCCTCTCTGCCCCTGTCCTACCCTCTCACCTTCCTCAGCCTCAGCCCTCTGTCGTAACATGACACTTTCTCACAGCGACCGCCTGACTCTACTAAGTTGTTTCCCTGTGTTGCTCCACTGTTGCCATGGTAAGACTCCCCATGTGTATGCAGGGGTGTGTGTGTGTGTGTGAGCAGCTACATAGACCCACGCTGGTATAAACTACAGTCCTGAAGCTTGTGTAGATAAAATGGATGCAAGTGTGGATTTAAACACAGAAACTGCCTTTTATGAGAAGATCTGCAACGTTTAGCAGATGGAGAGAGGGTAACAGTAGCTGTTTAGTGACTATGTTTGTGTCAGAGAAGTAAAAAGAGCAGAAACAGAGGTCAAGGTCACGCAAGGTCCCATTTTATCTGGCAGTGGTTACCCTGGTGTGGCACTGAGGCACCATGGGATCTATTGGCGTGCACACACACACAGACACACATAGAAGAGAACAAGCTGCACAGCCCTGC